ATTACTTACAGCTGTAGGAAGTAGGAGCTGAGAACTTCCCAATACTCTACCCAAAGGCAGATGCTTTGGGGAGAGCTGGCAGCCTGGGGCCTCTCTTTGCAAGGAGTTCACTGAGCAGAGTTAGAAAAGCCCTTTGGCTGGGACATTGGAAACCTAGCCTGGGGGTGTGGCAGGTGGTCTGCTGGCTTCTGGTCCTGAGTAGGAAGTGAGGGAGGCCTTGTCCCCTGCCTGAAAGAGAGCTGACCCAGATATTGGGAGGTCAGGGCGCCTCCCTAGTTTGTGGGGCTAACTGGTTGTGTGATGATAGGCTAGATTAGCCTTTATGCTTTGATTAATTAAAAGAGATGTATTACACTTACTGTGTTCACCCATTCTAAACACACATAAGCTTTTCCTATAAATAAATATAGGACCTAAGCTGCATCTCGCCTGCTAAGTAATTGTTCACAATCTTATCAGAAAGAAAACACAGCCAAAGCTGTGAAAAGGAGCCACTTTGATTTCTTCAGACACTGGGCAGTTCCTGAGGTCTCCGCCTTCTACCTCTGCAGTCACAGCCTCAACACCCTCCACCTCTTGAGCTTTACTCTTGCTGTGCCTGTGACCGAGTCACAGAGTTGTTAGTGGTGACAGTGTCATTTTCACCTAAACCAATCCAGAAAATGTCATTAACATGTGCCAGATGATGACACACATCAAAATCAGAGAAGCACAAGTCTCAGACATCAGTCAGGTCATGGTGCTTGTGCCCCCTTCATCCCACTGCACACTCTGTCTGCTCTGACCTGGGCCACCTTCCTGGGAAAATGGCACCACTCCTACTCCTACTGATCTTTATTCTCTCCCCTCATGCTAGGAGAGGTGGTGACCATCTCTATTCCAGAGGTCTCAGCTCATCCCACAAAATCCTCCCTACCACTGACTTTTCTGCCAGCTTTGGTCAGGATTTTTCCTCACTCTGAGGTAGAAGTTTTCTGACCCCCAGCTCCCAGCACAAACCCAGAATTACAAATCCAAAGCTGGCTAGACACTCTGAAGGAGAGCAGAAGAAGGGTGTTCCCAGATGATTTCATAGGTGTTAGCCTCTCCATAGAATTTTCTGCATTACCCGGAAAGTGAGTTGTCCTTAGAAAAACACTACAGAGCAAAAAGCAGCAACAACAACAACAACAAAAAAAAAAGCAGAGTATGTAAAGCTACAAAAGTAAGTAATTAAAGTCTGTCGATCAAAACCAGGAAGGGCAGCTCAAATCAACAGGTTGTGGTGGAGGATTGGTCACTCCACCACACTGCATTATTCAGTGCCCTCCACACCTCACCCCAGGCCAGAAGAAAGCCTCAGGGTGCAACTGGTCTCAGAGGCGACAAAATGACTGCATCCACTTTTCTGTTGCCTTTGGCTCTATTTTAGGTCTTTGCAGTTTCATTTAAAGGGTCTTCTCTACCTCTGCCTTGCCAGGTTCCACATTGCTCCCTGTCTTGGGTAGCTCCCTCCTCCAAAAATTTTATGGCTCTGAATCCCACCACACTGACCCAGCAAGCACTGATCAAAGGCTGATTGGAGATCTGTCATTCCTGCAGCCAAAACACTTACTGAGAACAAAGAATACGTTAGGCCTAGAACATCAGGATTTTGGACAATATAACTTCCTAAACTCATAGGTAGACTGTTAGAAAGGGCCACCAATCAGGAAATTAGCAGAAGCTCAAAGAGATAGGACTCAGTAAGAAAGGAGAAAAGAAGGCAGCTGCTCAATACCTTCTGGAACTCTACCGTCACGCAGCAGACCTTTTCTTCTCCACACGTGTCTAAAGTAGGATGCAGAAGACAAGCACTGTCTTTCCTTTCTCAGAGCACAGACATAGGGCTGGAGCTTCAGAAGAAGTCTTTCTGCCTGCAAGGAGTACAGTCTGCAGAACCTAACAGGTCTCTGCCCTGCTGTCTGCAGAGCACTCCAAAACCCACCCTCAAGCCCCACTTTCCCTCCTGACCAGGCTGCTCCCAAGCACCCCATTTCAGAGGAGATCATCGGGGGTCAGAAGGCCAAGCCCCACTCCCATCCCTACATGGCCTTCATCCAGTTTTAGGATGGCAATCGGCCAAAGAGATGTGGTGGTGTCTTGGTGCAAAAGACATTTGTGCTGACAGCTGCTCACTGCAAGGGAAGGTAAGGGCAACAGCCAGCCCACACTTCCTGAAAGACAGCAGGGACCTCTGTCCTCCACAGGGATGAAGCCTGTAGAGCCCCTGGGGTGCAGGAACACAAGCCCACAAGAGCTCAGCAGAAAGCAGGAAGGCAGGAGAATCAAAAGTTTCAGACCAATATCTGAATATATGATAATTAACCTTGTAGACTCTTATAAGATGAATAAATAAAATTGATGATAAAAAGAAAAGGGAGTTGGAGGAAGTGGGAAAAGGAAGGAAATTTAATTGTGTTCTGCATGTGTACTACTCTCTTACACTGATGATAATCATCATATACTGCAAGCATGTAGTAATAAAAGTCCAGAAAATGTTAAAAACCAGTCAGGGTAAGTTAGCTACTTAGTGAGAACCTCTCTCAAAAATAAAAATAAATGAAAATGGGCTGGGAGTATAGCTAAGGGCCAGAGCCCTGGGTTCAACACCCATTACCTCAAGAAATGAAAGAGGACTTTCAAAAAGAAAAGCTGAGAAATGGGAGATGTAGGTTATGGGGTGAGAGGGTGAGCATACAGAACAAGTGACACAGGCAAAAAGACATAGGGACCCCACTGCCAATAAAGCAGCTGCAGCCTGCTCCACACAGCTCCTGGCATGTGTCTTCTACGGCTCCATGAGACTCAACCACCTCTTCTCTCTGTGCAGCTCAATATGTGCCACCCTGGGGGCCCACAGCATCCAGGAACAGTAGAAGACCCAGAAGGTCATCCGTGTGAGATCCATCCCACACACAGACTATATTCCTCCAAACTTCTCCAGCAACGTCATGCTGCTGCAGGTGAGGCACACCTTCCTGCTATCCTTGCCCTCCTTGGGCAGGGTTACCCCTCCCACTGGGACCCTGCTCTTTTCCTCCCTGCCATCTTGGCCATCTCGATGTCCAGTCCCAGAAGACATAGGGTCTGTGCCATAGGCTGATCTGAACTCTCTTGCTTATTCCCCATCAGCTGAAGAGAAAGGCCAAGCTGACTAAGGCTGTGCAGCCCCTCAGACATGACCATAAGGACATGACCCCGGGGAACCCAGGTGACACATGCCCTTTGGCAGGTTGCGGGAGAATGACCCCATCAGGACCTTCAGCAACTGAACTGCAGGAGGTGCAGCTGACAGTGCAAGATAAACTAAAATGCAAATCAGCCCTCCATGTCTATTCCGATGTCACTGAGATTTGTGTGGGAGACCCAAGGAAAAACAAGACCAGTTTCAAGGTAAGGGTTCCACTGTTTCTGAAGACAGAACCCAAGGAAAGAAGAACTTGGTGGGGGGATGATAGTGTCCGTCTCCTCATGCCCTAAGTCCAGAGTTTGACACTCTGAGTTCTCCAGCACTGTAGTCTTTAATCCACTTCCTGGGTGGATAAGGGCAAAAGGTAGGGAAATACCTTTTAACTCAACGTGCTATTATCACTACAGTTTCCCTAAGGATTACTCAGAGAGATTCAGGTAAGTTAAAACTGGCAAGGAAACATTAGAATATCCTGGTCAGAAGGAGGCAGCCAGGCCCACCCTTCCCTGATCTCTGCTCACAACCCCCTGACAGAGGTCACTCACTAGGGGGAGGTTCGAGAGCACCACCAGGAGGAACCAACTCTTTACGTTCCTTCTCTGCCCACAGAGGAACTCTGTGGATCCCCTCGTGTATAACAAAATGATCCAAGGCCTTTCCTCCTATGGAAAAAATAATGGAAGACCCCCAGGTCTCCCACCTCCTGCCTGGACAAACAGCACCATGGGGCACTTCTAATAGCTGATGTAAGACTGGCTTTCTGATCATCTGTTCTGAAGCAAAAGAGAGTATCCCATGAGCACAGGCCTTAAGGACTGCACGGTGATAATAAATGGATCTCAAGAGTGAACGTGGCTGAGGTCCTGTTTGTTCATTGAACCCTTTCAGTATGCAGCTGCCCTGCTCCAGCAGCCCTCTGCTGGCCACTCTGCTTGTTGCTTCCTCTTTTCTCCCCAGGCCTCCCTCTTCCCTTAACTCCATTCCATAGAATTCCTCACTGATTTTCAAGCACACTTTGCTTTAATGCTCAGTTCTGCAGTGTGGACTTCTCCCTGTGCAGTGGGGACTCCGCAGTGTTAGAAGCTGTCCTCATGCACACCGTCTCAGGTTCTCTGTGCTCAACCCCCACATATACATCTCACGCCTTTAGGAATTTCCACCTTCTCCAAGCCAACAACCTGCATCACACCCTCATCAATTTCACAGAGACCGGAGCAGTGAAAACGACTAACTCCAGGGACCCATGGGCCAAGGGCACTCAGTTGTCCCCTCTCTCCAGTGGGGCAGGTTTCTCCCCATTTCAGTGCTGTCTGTGGCTTAGGAGGCTGAGGTGGCCTCAGCTCACTCTGGTCCCATTTTCTGCCCTTCCCTGGCCTCCCTCACTGCCTGGCCTTTCCACACCAGCCCCTGTCTCCCCTAGAGTGCCAGTGCCCACCAGCCCCTTTCCCTTCCAGTTCCTCTGATTTAAGCTGCCTCCTCTCAACCCCCTACAGATTTCCTACTCCCTGCAGATTCCTCTCTCACATGTTCAACCCAGACTTGAAACTCTCTCCCCTTCTACCTGGGAAGGGTTGGCTGAGTCTGTTCCAGCCCAGCATCCCCCAAAGACTCAGGCCTCAGCTCCTATGGAGACACTGCACCCTCAGCCCTTTCACCCAGTCCTGGCCTTGGCAGGGATCCATGCTCCCCCTGCTGGCGGACTGGATTATAGCAACCTGTGAGCCAGAGAGTCCAGGGTTGCTGGGCAGGAAGAATCACTTAGCTATCAACAAACACACTTTTCCATTATGCTTTTGCAGCGGACACATAATAGGCTCTGATCTCACCTTTGAAGAAGCCTCAGGAATGAGAAATTTCCTCTAAATATCTCAGGTATGTCTCCTTTCACCAAGGCAGGCTAGTTTAACCCAGATATTTTGATATTTGGAATCCACTATAGAAAACTTATTTCAAAAAAGTTAAACTCTCTGTATTCTATCTCCGTTGTGCATGACAGTATCACATGCTCGATATTTTGGGCTACAGAAGAGCAGTGTGTGATACTGGAAGAGACATGGAAATTCCCATTTCCTGAGATAACCCATGTGTGGCCACTGGAGTCTGGGTCCAGAGCTGTGGGAGGGAAAAGGAGGCAGCACAGCCAAGCTGAATTTCAGCCCACAAACCCCCAAAATGCCACAGTTCAGAGGTGGAACAGTTAAGACACAATGACTGTTTTTAGGATCTCATATCTCTCAAACAGTGCTACTGAGGAGTTTTATGTGACACAACAAGATACACTCATGAGAGCTGTGCTAAGTCAAGTGAGACCAACATCAAAAACTTCCTGAATAGGACTGTAGCAGCTCAGGGAATGATAGCAGAAAATGGCAGATCTGATTGCATCGATTTGAAAAACTACTGCACAAGAAAGGCAACAACAGAGTGAAGAGTAACAGCCCATGGAATCCTGGGAGAAAACCTCAGCCAGCTACTCTTCCGACAGAGGGTTAACTTTTGAATATATAAAGACTCCGAAACCTTAACATCAAAAAAGAATACAGGCCAGTGGGGCTGGAGCATGCTTGTAATCCCAGCACTCGGGAGGCTTAGACAGGAGGAGCGCAGTGACTGTGAGGCCAGTCTGGGCTACATAGTGAGTTCAAAGCCAGCCTGAACTGCATAGCAAGACCAAGCCTCAAAGACAAAACACCAATGGGTAAGTGGGCAAGGGAACTGAACAGATACTTCTCCAAAAGTACAAATGATTAATAAGTACATACACAAATGTTCAACATCTTTAGCCATCAGAGAAATAAAACTCAGAACTACATTAAGATTCCATCTAGACCCAGTCATAATACTTATTATGAAGAATACCAAAATAATAAATGCTTGTAAGCACTTTGTAAGTACTGCCACTATGGAAATACATACAGTAGATCCTCAAAAAACCAAGCACTACATCATATAATAGAGATACTATAGATCCAGCGTACCCAACACATGCTTCCACACCTATGTTTGTGACAGTGCAATTCACAATAGCTAAGCCATAGAAATAGCCTTGGCCCTACACACAAAATTACTATCACGTTGTATACAGAGTTTTACAGTGTACATTTTCCAATTCACATGAGAGGATATGAATTTCTCCATGCCCCTAAGTAGTCTCCTAAAACAATACTTTTAGTGGCCTAAGACAAATTATCTCATTAATGTATCATCATCTATATTCTCTTCTCCCAATGTTAAATATTTGAATTGTCTGAGCAAATTGGCAGGAAGGTCTAACGGTATATGTCCATGTCATCCTTTTCTTCATGTCACAGCAAAGGCCTACCTGGGGTGCACACGATGGGCAGGCAGGAATAGTGGTGTAGAAAAGTACAAAGCAATAGTGAGAATATGAGCCAGCAGGTGGTAAGTCAGGTGAATGAGCACTGTGCTTTGGCACACAGACACATGAAATAGAAGGGGGAAGGAGGGCTGCTCCTTTTTCTTAAATGTCTCCATGAGAACTCCAGAAACACAAGCCTAGCCCACCCACACCTCCCCACACCACAATCAGTCCCATACTCCACACAAATCCACCTGCAAACCTGGTTTGAGTAGAAATTTCTGAAATCTGATTGGACTGGCTGCAGAACTGTAGACACCAGATGAATTTTATGACTTTCTTTTTTCTCTCTTTGTCTGGTCCTTTTTCTTTCTTCTATCCAGTTATGATTTTTTTTTCATTGCTCTGTTTTGTCTTGTTCAGCTTTTGTTTCTGTTTACGGTTATTTTTTTTTTCTCTCTTTTCTCCTCATGATGTAGATTTCTGCCCTTTCCTTTTCTTCTACTCAGCCTCCTATTTCATCCACTAGCTCAGTTAACTTTATGAGACTTTCTTGTGATTAAACATTGTAGCTTCTTTTCCTGGTTCCCTTCAATACTTCTTGGCTTTCTCTTCCATTCTTGCCCTCTTGAGTATTACATACTTCCAAACTTAAATGATCATCCTTTGCCTTCCATCCTTGCTCTACTTACATTTCACCTCTTTTCTTTCTCTATCCTGCCCCTATCCCTCTGAAATATCTGGTACAATAGGGTAAAATCACTCAACTAAGAGGAAAATCATTGCATACAAGTTCTGGTATAAGTTGGATTTTCTTCTCTAACTATAGAATTTGCTCCTCTTGGTATATATTCTGTTTCTGCACGGGGTGAAAGGTCCTAAGAACAAGGGGCCTGCAGATGAAAAGAAAAACAAAAGAAAGTTATGGGATCAGGGGACTTGCAGCCTTCCTGACTGAAGCCTCAATTGCAATCCTCCTTAGGCTTTTACTGGGATACAAACATAAAGCAGCAACAGGGCAAATGGGAGGAGTAATTAACAGGATTAGTGAAGATGATACAGCTTAATTATCACAGGAATGAGACTTGATTTAGTTAGGCATCTTGTTATCATTGCTTCTGGCATATCTCAGCAAAGCATCTAGTGTTGTCCTGTGGCTTTCTACAGGGACACAGGTCTTGCTATCATTCCCTTTTACACTAATGCTTTTGCTACACTTCCTCCAAAATCAAACAATCATATGGTATGGTCCAACACGAAGTCCCACATAAAAATACATTTAAAGGGAAACTAGAGAATGTCCTTCTCCACACTCATATGGTGAACATTATCATGCTAATAGTTGTTGTCTGTAGCCAAACTGTGCGTGAAAATATTAGCACATAAAATATGCTGAAGTAAATACAGAGAAATTAAAATCTTCCCATGCATATTATCTGACCACAGTGCAATGAAACCCAAAATCAATGGCAAAATGAATCACAAAACTACATAAACTCATGGAAATTAGCACCCTTCTGAACAACTGATGTGTCACAGAGGAAATTAAGACCCAAATTAAACACTGTATACAATTAAATGATAATGCCAGAATAGAATAGTAGGACTTATGGGAAATAATGAAAGCAGTCATATGAGGAAAATGTACAGCTGTGAATTTGCAAATCAGTAAGACAGCACAAGCCCACATAAATAACCTGATGTTGAAACTCAAACTTCTAGAAAAACTAGAAAAAATCAAACCCAAAGCAAGTATGAGGTAGGAAATAAAAAAGATGAGGAAAAAAGAGAAGAGCAGATATTAATGCAGTGGAGACAAAGAAAACAAAATGAAGAATCAATAAACTGAAGAATTTCTTCTTTGAAAGATTAAATAAAATTGATAAACACTTAGCCAACCTCATCAAGAAGCAGAAGAAAAAAACTCCAATACAAGCAATTAGGAATAAAAAGAGGGAAACTAGAATGGATTCTTTAGAAATCCAAAAGATGATCACTACCTGTAATTTAAGTACCTATACTCTAATAAGGTGGAAGACACAGAAGTAATGGACATATTGCTAGACATGTATAAATTGTCAAAACTGAATCAAGAAGATGTAAAACTTGAAATAACTTGATATCAGTCAATGAAATTGAAAATGTAATTAAAAACTTAACAACAAATGAAAGTCCAGTTTCTGATGGGTTCATTGTGGAATTCTATAAGGAATTTAGAGAATTAAAGCCAGGAGTAGTGAAAATCTTTAAGAAAATTGAAAGGAAAGCAGTGTTTCAGAGTCATTCCTGGAAGTGAGTGTTACCTGATTCCAAAAGCAAACAAGATTCCACATGATCATCTCAACAAATGCAGAAAAAGCTTTTGACAAAGTCCATCATCCATTGATGCTAGAAAACCTACAGAAAATTGAAATAGGTGGTCTTTACCTCTTTCAGATCTTTACCTCTTTTCATCTAGGAAAAACCAAGAGCTAACATCATATTTAATGGTCAAAATATGAAGCTTTCTAAAATCAGGAACAAGGCAAAGATATTAACTATCACCAGTACCATTCAACACAGTTCTGGAAAGATTGTCCACAGCAATTAGACAAAGGAAAGAAGTAAAAGGAAAAAGAGTAGGAAAGGAAAAAGTTACGCGCAGATAACATGATACTTCACATAAAAGACTTCCAAAACTCCACAAAAGGACTTGTAGATTTAATAACCAATTCAGCAGTATAGCTGGATTCAAAGTCAACACTCAAAAATCAATAGCTTTCCTGTACACAAACAACAAATTTACATAGAGAGAAAGTAGGGAAACCATACCATTTACAACAACATTCAAAAAACTGAAATACTTAGATGTCAATCTAACAAAGGAATAAACATCTATACATTAAAAATTACAGGACTCTGAAAAAGGAGATTGAAGAGAACATCAGAAAACAGAAATATATCCGTTGCTCAGGGACAGGAAGAATCAAGATAGTGAAACTGACCATACTCCCAAAACTGTTGTACATATTTTATACAATCCCAATCAAAATACCTTTAACATACCTCACATACTAGAAAAAGCATTCTTAAAGTTCAATGGGAACCAGAAAACACCTAGAAAAGCAAAAACAATCGTGCATAACAAAGGCAAGGCAAGGCAAGGTGAATCACAATCCCTGAGTTGAAATTATAGTACCAAAGTACTAGGATAATATCAGCATGGTAATGGGAAAAATAGACCTGATGATCAGTGGAAAATAATAGAAGATGCAGAAGCAACTCCAAACAAACTCAACCATCTCATCTTTGACAAAGAGGCCAAACATGTTCACTGGAAGACAGATAGTATCTTTCATAAATGGTATTGGAAATACTGGCCTTCTACATGCTAAAGACTAAAACTAGACACATGCCTATCATCATGCACTAAATTAAAGTTAAAAACAATCATAGATATAAATATTAAACCAAAACACTAAATTTACAGGAAGAAAAAAGAGGTAGAAATCTTGAACACATAGGTGTAGGCAGACTTCATGAACAAAACCCAAACTGCACAAGAAATACTACA